TGCATTAAAACATTTGTTAATAGCATATTTAGATAAGTATGCATTCAAGAAATCTGGAAGGACACCCCCCAAATGCCAGCAGTGGTTACCTCTAAGTATTTAGATGTGAAATGATGCTGACCTTCTCCTTTATGCACTCCCAAGTTGTTTTGCTATCTTACTGGGGAGGTGTGCTGCTGTTAGGCTAAGAAAATATATGAAGTAATATGTATTTTAGAAAGGAAAGTTTGGCCTATCCCATGAGCCACAATCATTAGACATAAAAAAAAATATGATGTTAACACCTTCAGCAAATTTGACATATGAAGTTTTTGAAGCTTGTTGTCAATACAACAAAATAGCATACATATCAAATCGCATATATATCAACATATGTGTAACTCCATCTATTGAAAAAAATCTGCATTAGTAACCGGTACACCTAGTACACAATTGGGTGTCCTTTGCAGAGGAGGGGACATGTCTTACTTTTCTTTGCATCTACAGTGCCAGAAACATATCTGGTATATTGTGCTCAATAAACATTGAATGGCACTAGTATGTGAATTGGAAAGACAGTATTTTCCCATCTAATAAAAGTTGCCTTTATTTGCTGTTAGGCTAAGAAAATATATGAAGTAATATGTATTTTAGAAAGGAAAGTTTGGCCTATCCCATGAGCCACAATCATTAGACATAAAAAAAAACCATAATGAAGCATGATCTTTTACATCTAAACCATGTGTTGACAGTGACTTGACTTCGTGAACTTAAATAGTTGACTTAACTTGGTAGCTTTAATGGTATTAGGCAGGTTTCTGTTTTCCTTACTCATGTCTGTGTTTATACTATTCAGCAGGTATGCAAGCAGCACTTTACTTGTAAATGTTCTAGCAATTACATGATCGCTTTTGCTCTCTCTCTTCCTCTCCTTTAATTCTCCCTTCTCATACTTGGACTCAGTGTTAGAACCTATATTTTTTTAAAGCCATCCATGGCCTCTTCCAAATAGATAAGGCAGAATTAAGTAGCCAGTGTGCCCCCCCCTCTCTCTCTCTCTCTTTCTCTCTCTCTCTCTCTCTCTTTCTCTCTCTCTCTCTCTCTCTCTCTCTCTCTCTCTCTCTCTCACACACACACACACACACACACACACACACCCATTCTCTCTCCTTTCATTATGCATCTCTTGTTTTCAGGTTGGCTCTGTATAAAAGAAATAACAGTGTCTGATCAGTGATATTTTTGCTCCTCATCGTTTGCCTGCTTGTCCTTCTATTGTTTTGTTTGGCTGACTACGGTGTTGGAAAACCTAGACAATGTTATTAGACTAAAATAGAGTTTCTTTCTTTTCCCCAAAGAAACATTCACAGATGATAAAATGTGCCTCTAAAGAGCAAGTCTAAAACTGATGTCTATTCTTTTCCAGCTCCAGCTGAACCCTCGCCGCCAGGATGGGGAAACAGAACAGCAAGCTGCGCCCAGAGGTCATGCAGGACTTGCTGGAGAGCACGGACTTCACGGAGCACGAGATCCAGGAGTGGTACAAAGGCTTCTTGAGAGACTGCCCCAGCGGGCATTTGTCCATGGAAGAGTTTAAGAAAATTTACGGGAACTTTTTCCCTTACGGGGATGCTTCCAAGTTTGCAGAGCACGTCTTCCGCACCTTCGATGCCAATGGAGATGGGACAATAGACTTCAGAGAATTCATCATAGCCCTGAGTGTGACATCGAGGGGCAAGCTGGAGCAGAAGCTGAAATGGGCCTTCAGCATGTATGACCTGGATGGAAACGGTTACATCAGCAAGGCAGAAATGCTAGAGATTGTGCAGGTATGTAGCCCACTAAAAGGTGTAGTATATATATATTCATTCAAAGAGAAAAACATGAGCTACAAGTTAGAATTAAAAGGTGCACAGTGGGGCTCAGTGCATATTTGGCCTACCCGTGTTTTTGAGAATGTTGAACCCGTGTTACTAAACAGGGAGGTTGTACATAAAAATGCAGATTGGTTGGTGTCTCTTGAAAACTCAGGAGGTCTGGCAATGCTGGGCTCCCATTCTCGCCTGGTGTAACTCACCTGGGGCTTTGCGGTGACTGCCACCCTACAGATGGACTTGCAGTCTGCAGTTGGTCATGTTCATTATGGCACCTCTATCCCTTCATTGCAATGACCTGCCTTTTGAGGTTATATCTCCTGCAGTGGTCATTTAATGATCAAACTGTGGCCTGGGTTCAAATCTTGTCTCTTTCAGTCACTACCTCTGTGACTTTGACCTCGTTCATCTGCGTGAGCTTCGTTGGCCTCATCTGTAACATGGAACTGCCAACAGAGCCCACCCATGTTGTGGGGTTATTTTAAAATTACATGTGACTCTCCAGGTTCATTGCTTAGCACAGTACCAGCCATGGGTAAAGCTCATCATCACCATCTTTGTTTATGTCTTTATTAAACTCTTGAGTAAAAGCAGGGATCTCTAGCCTCAGTTCTGTCTGGTCAGAGATACACATGTAGAATGGGG